AAGTTTAATTTTGACATTGCAGCTTATAGAGCATTACATTTGAAGCCCTCTGCATAGTATGCATTATAAAAGCCCCCTAATCTGCTCCTCACTGCAGGTTTTTGCAGTTATGATGAAAAAATAATGTGCAAATGATTTAAAGGAGCAAAATTTTAGATTTAAAAAGCGTAATCTTGATGGATCAAGTTCCAGCTCGAGGATGCTATGATGTGAAGTCGATCATTATTTAAAAAATGTCTTAAAATGTCTAAAGACCACTTTAGATCTCCCACCTTTTATATTAATCTGAATCTTTGCTTTGAACTATGAAACACTGGTGGCTTTTCTTGTTAAAAACTTTTACAAAGACAAACTGGATACAAAGAGATGACAGAAGTTAGCAGCTGTAAAGTGAAGGTTAAGTACCTCTATTCTAATTGACCCATTAGTCTGAATCAATTCCGCCTTAGCTTACTTTAACATTTAAAAACTCGACCTTTTGCCGGCTGGTGTCTGGCTCGGTCTAAAGGCCAATATCCTCTGATCAGCCGTAAGTGCTGACTCGGTGAATGGCTGCCTTTGTTTTGCTGTAGAAAGGGGATTCTTTTTTCCAGCAGAAAGCTGGAATGAACACCAGAGTGACTAATGAAAATTGCTCTGAAATAAACGTCTGAATAGATTTGATCAATTTGTTGATCTCTTCTTGTTACTGGATGGTGATGCGTCCTGATTTATCAAGGCAGGGTAAACAAAATGTGGCTGTTTGTGATTGGCTGATCAGTTTGATTTGATTAGATATGTAATATTTGTGTTTTAGAGACTTCTGCAGCCTGTCTCTGAATGAGATTTCTGTGTGGATTTGTGGGTGAAACCTTTTTGGTTTGTTTTTGAGATTTAATTTTCACTCCTATAATAAGATTTTAATGTAGTGACAGCATCACAAAAACAAGTGTTTCATCATCTTGCTCAGTTTTATTAGAATTGAGCTGAAAGGGAGGCGATTTAAATTATTATGAAGTCATCTCTCCAAAATCCTTCTTTCCTGGTGTTTGAAAAATCTAAATTTCTATTTATCTAAATCCATTTCTTTCAATTTGTACCAAATGAAAATGTTGGCATGTGGGAACATGAAAACAATTAGTGTTCAGCTGTTACACACAACTCTCAGACAGTATCTGCTTTTTTCCCCTTCTTTACTGTGATATGAAAATGAAAAGAGATGCGACTGTCACCATCGAACATCAAATTCCAAAAGAGACACAAAAGTTTAAAAACACCTCCAAACAAGAGTTACATCAGCAGAAAGGGCTTCAGAAAGATCTTCACATGACTGCAACAGTAACATTTTTACCCAGAACTGAAAAGAAAACCAACCCCAACCCAAACTTTGGCTTGTTAGCTACCGTGACATTTACCAATGGGATGAACTGTGATTCAAATATAAAGCGGCACTTTGAGAGAATAAATATTTGAATACTGAATGTTCTTCTGTGTTTTTTTAGGCAGCAGAGGGAAGGATGTACTCCTTGTTACAACAGATTTTTTTAAACATTCAGTGTCAATGAAAAAACAGGATGAAAAGTGGAAAATGGGTTCAGAAGCTATTGCAACAAAATGTTTCATTTTTAATGTTCCATCCTTGGAACTCAAAGTCCAAAGACGCAAAAAATAAAACTGATTCTATGTAAAAAATGGAAAAAAAAAAATGGTTCAGATTGTGACCAACTAAATGAAGCCAATTAAAGCGTTTTTTGATTAGCAACTTGACTTTTCACTCGCTGAACAAACCTACAGAGATGTCTTCATTTAAAAAAGCAGCTGTCCATTTTTTAAATTTCCCAACATGTTTAGTGTTTTACATTTAAAAGTTAATGGTTAACAGGGGTGTCTAACAAATTCAAACCAACGTCTGAGGTTCCTTACTTTTGTTTAAGAGCAGCATGAATGTTTTGTTGCCTTAATCCTGTTTTCTGAGGCTCAGAGGGCTGGCAGCTCCTCTCCTGCTGTTAAAAACAACCGTGCTGACAATGCGTAATCCACTTAAATCTCGCTTGTGGCACTCGGGAAATAATTAACTTAGGTTTGATTTAAATTACATGCAAACAATCACTATAATTCTTGAGAGAGTTAGACATTTGCAAAGTGGCTCAGCCACGACCTAAAAAAACAAACCATTTAAACAAAAAGAGAAAACACCTTGGAGAAAATATTGTGACAGCTATGCTTATAACATTCCCCTGTTTAATTTATTAATTTTTAGTATTTGGTCATTATCCAATAAGGTGAGCCAAACATCTGTTATTTTTTTCCCTAATAAGAAATAGCTTTAAATGCTCTTTTATTTTCAGCAAAGTTCATTGATTCAGGTTCATACATTTTTTTCAAAATATATAATTTTTTTTTACCAATGTTCTAATTAATCAGTGCAAATGACAGTTTTTTTTTAATGTTCAGTATCTCAAAACTTTGCCATTTAGTTAAATGATGTGGTATTGTACAAGTTAACATTTCGCAGAAGTTCTGCAACAGCTGCTGTACAAATGGAATAACATGTTTGATGATGAGCTGAAAGACGTCGATAGAAAATGAAAAAAATATATGAAAATATGCCAGTGTTTTTTTACTTCAACACTGAAATATGAAAAGAGCTTAAACTAATGTCGTACACATCCACCATCATGTTGTAGAGGAAATTAATAGAATATAATGCCTAAAGATTTTGGTCGTAGAAATTTTGCCGTGGAAGACATGTAGAGAACCCAAGACGCTTTAACTATTTTATTAAATCAACATAACTGTGTGCAAATAGCAATCAATTCTACAGACTAAATTGATTTGCTGTCCCTTTTTTCAATCAGATAAAATATAGATTTGCTTTTTTTTATTCCATCCAGCCTGCCCATGGATTAAAAGTGCCAGGTGCTGCTTTGGTTTGGGGGGGAGGTGGGGGGGTAGATTAAATTCCAAAGACACTGTATACAGGAGGAAAGATGCAAGACTTTGACTTAATAGCACCAAAGGCTCCAATTAAAGTATATCAAATGCACTTAGGGCAAATTAATTTAATTCTAAATAACAACCAAAGTACGGATTTTTCAACTGAGCCAAGACCAAACTATTCTGATCACTGGCATTTAAATAAATAAATAAATACATAAATGAGTTATAGTCATAGTGGGAGATTCAGCACAATGCAGGGATGCACATAAACACCCAACTATCTTTATTTTTTTTTAATTCTGCGGGACAAAGGAAAGGGAGGATTGCTTTGGGATGGTATTATATTTTGGGTTTCTTCGTTGTCACATTGTTTGTAATGTTCCGCTGACTGATAGCTGATGTATCGGGCTAAAACCTGTTGTGATGATGATGTGTGCTACAAAGGAAACATGATGAATGGAGCCATTTGAAACATTCTTGAAAAGTTCTTTAAAGTTCAACGATGGACCTATTTAAATGACGAATGAATTTGAAATGTGAACAGCAACTAACGTCAGACAGCTAACCGATGCTGGTAGCTAACAAGCCTTTGTAACAACCTTGTGCCAGACATCTTAAAGCAGAACCTCAGAGCTTGTAGTTGAACTCCCCTACTGTCCCTCTCTGCTGTGCTTCAGAGCTGCCCATGAAGTCCTCCCCTGAAGAACAGGGGTTTATGCTCTTGACAATTTTTCCATCAGGCAAAATATATCCTTGCAAATTTTACCAGAGATCCAAGGAGTAAAAACAATTCTTTCTCTCTTTCCTGCACATTTTCAACCCTTTTTTTTTCGTTAAGTAAAAATAGCAATAGGATTTTTCCATTAAAGTCCCCCAAAAAGTTCAAATTTGCTGCTCTGGTGCAAATGGATTGTAAAAACACAGCACAACCCAAACGTTGTGTACTGATACAACGTCTGTCCAGTTGTCATGATTCTCTCTTGAATCCGTCACAGCAACTCCACATTCACAGATTTGAAAAAAAAGAAAATACCAAAGCACATGTCCACCACCTACCAGACCATTTGACACAATGCGTAAAGAGTGAAACACCACTGGCAATGTGCACTGATAGTTTGGCAACACAATATGAACCGTGACTTTTACAAAAGATACAGCTACATTAACTCCACTTTTTCCCACAGCTGAAGTTTTCTTTTTGCTGCATCTTATCAGCTACGATATTCACCTTCTTAACTCCAATTAAAATCTCTTTAACACAAACAGCCATAAACATTTATTCACAAAGATATTCACGAAATACAAATATAGATTCATTCACGATGTTTCTAACTTCCCTTTTTCGTGTACATCTGCTTTACGGTCAAATCTCGCCTGTGGTATTTTCACAAAGGCAGCAGGAGGGTTTTCTTCTCTTTGTGGCAGCTTCTGACCTCATCAAGTGTCAGGAGTTGAAGTGCACCAGGTCCCCTCTGATCCACTCAAAGATACAGTATAATGGGAGGTAGGAACCACCTTGGTGATGCATTCAGTAAAGTCTGTGTTCACAGCAGCACATCATCCAATGACAACTAAATTATATGACACATTGGTTACTTGTTTTCCCTTTTAAAACTGTTTTTCCATTTGAAAAGATGTCACTTTTGTAAGTGGCCGTGAATCTGGACGTGACTAGACTCATTAACGGCCAATTTTTCACAAATCTTTGTGATAACTGCCGTTAGTCTTTAGGGAGTTCAGTAGACTAAAATGATGCGTGCGCCAGTACTAAAGAGATATAAAATGAATCAGGATTTTTAATCCATAAAAAGTGCTTATGTTTGGGGATAAACAGAGAATAATGAAGTCATCGATCTGATCCCAACACCTCCATGTGCTTAACTGAGGGAGTATATGGTACAGGGCTCTCATTTTGCCTCTCAGATTCCTTTCAAATCTGGACAGAGAGGCACTTTGTCTTTGGCACAACATGAAATGTCAGAGCCTTCCCTCTGAAGGATGGCGTGACCACATCGATAAAGTGTGAGCGTTTCATTTTGGGCCACGGTTCGCAGTGGATAAAGGCTTTTGTCTTAATCTGCTCACACGCAGCTCTCGTCTTTGTCCGCCTGGGTTTGGCCTCGTGTCCACCTGTCCGCTTCCCTCCCCGGTAGCGGGGAGTCCTTCCCCTGGCTATCACAGTGAGCCTCTCCGTTCTGCAGCTTCTTGACGTCCCCCAGAGGCAGCTGGGTGGAGTTGTAAGCGATGGGTGGTATGGTGTTGACCAGTATGAGCTGGAGAGGCTTCTTCTCCGGCTGGTACCGGCAGCGGATGTAGCGCTGGAATGCCGCGCGGTAGGTTTTGTTAAAGAGCGTGTAGACCAGCGGGTTGACCGCAGACGACAGGTACCCCACCCAGACGAAAATGTTCAGCAGGCCTCCCATGACCCCGGCGTCGCACACGGCCGGGTCGCACACCACCACCAGCACGTTGGTGATGAAGAACGGGCACCACATGACCACGAAGAGGAAAAACACCACCCCGAGGACCTTGGAGGCCTTCTGCTCGTTGCTGATGGACTGCATGGTGCGGCGCCCGAACAGGGAGCCGGACACGCTCCCGCGGTTGCTGCCCAGGCCCCCGCCGCTCCCCCGGCCCCCCACCTCCCGGCTGATGGAGCGCCGGAAGAGTTTCTCGGAGGAGACGGAGGTCTGCGGAAGGAAGCCCAGGGTGAAGGTGGTGCTCCACTTGGGCCGCGGGACCAGCTGGTCCAAGCACAGCGTGGCTTCGTTCTGCAGGGCGTTGATGGTCAGGAAGTAGGTGACCACCATGATGGTGAGAGGGACGAAGAAGGCCACGAAGGAGCCGACCAGGACAAAGTTGTTGTCCGTCAGCAAGCAGCTGTCCTCTTTGAAGACCTTGGAGTGGTCTCTCAGTCCCAGCACAGGAATCGGCATCGAGATCCCTGTAGAGAAGAGGGACAAACGGCAGAAAGATCAGACTTTCAGATTCTGACAAATGTCTCTATCCCACTGTGATAGAAGATTAAAGCTAGCTACTAAGAGAAAAAAGCTGAGCAGGCTGGGTTATGCCGAGTTTGATCAGACATCTTACTGTTAGTTAAGTGAGGTTAATCGCTGTATAGTGGTCCATCGATGGGTTCAAAACCCTCTCCAAAAGGCAAATTCCTCAAAGTAGTCACTCTATGTTAATTTTTCTAATCTTTCTTTTTTAAAGATAAAGTAAAAAGGGAATAAAAAAATTGGAGTTTTATCTCAAAAGCTCCTCGTGTGACTAGAAACCTAGAGGTGGAATATACTAAACATAAAAAATTAATCTCTGATTTTCAGAACAAGAAATGCAAAAACACCAAGATATAATCTTGTATGAAAAAAACATGCTGCCTCTCAATTTGACAACACACTACAAAACTATAGGCTGTTATGGCAACAGGCAGTGTTTTTAAACCCATGTTTTATTCAAATACTGGAACAACTGAGTCATAATGCTTCCTGTAAAATCGTTTTGGTTGTGGACCGGTGGTTCTTCCTCGTCATTGTCCTTGGGAACAGGACTCTTGAGAGAACCAGATATGTGAACTGACGTTAAAGTCCGAACCATGTGATTCTCCCATGACCCCCAATGGGAACCAAAGGGTATGGAAAGTGGAAGGCTGGACAGTTGGAGGATGCGATTTGGCAAAGTATAACTGATCTTCTATTTGTGCGGCAGCTACAGCACAACCATGGTCAAAGATATCAAAATATGTTGCTATTACAGATTAAACAGCAAACAGGTTCAGGAACACTTCCAGTGAGCGGCGTCCATTATGGAAGAGGAAACATATCTTTATAGGATCCAAACTAGGGGGCCAATTTACAGGAACAGAAAACACACAGCAAACTCAAACACGGGACTGTCATCTCACACAGAAAACAAGGAATAAATAGAGAAAAAAACAACAAACAAGCACAGAGCAAAGACTACACTTGCTCCAAAAAACAAACAAAACCAGAGCCAAGAGCGAGCTCCCGGGTGAAAAACACTGATAACAGCCGACCATCAGATAACGTCACAGCACATTGCAGAAGAGATAGTTCCAGCACTAGTTTGAGTGCTGAACATGCTCCATTTCCTTTTGTCAGATTCAGATTTCAGGGCATAGAATGACGAAAAAAGTCTGCAGACAAAGCCTGAACTGCTTCTCACATGTGATTTTATGATTTTCTTGCTACTGGCACACTTAAAATATATCCCAATACTGATAAAGGCCTTTACCTGTTTATCAGACTCTTTTTTTCTTTTTTTATTACATGATTATATCACCGTTTCACTTCCATTAGACTAATGTATATTGTAAAGTCATTGTAAACCAGACAAAATGACTTATTTACATTTAACCGGGGTATGTTTAATGTAACTGTAATCCCAGAAATGACAGCCATCTGTGCATGCTTCAGGAGAGGCAGCATGTGTCTGCTGAGTAAACACTGCATGGATAAAGTGTGTTTGCCAGTGGGAGAATTACAGCACGTCACCCACAAACTGCAGGCACAGCAACTCCCGAACCTCACTGTTTTGCCATTATGCAGCTCATTCCTTTATATAAAGTAACACACATGCCTCAGTGTGCGCTTATTGAGTTGAACACATTGTAAGGTATGAAAACAGTAAATAATAATTCTGAACTCTGGTCTTTCCACTATCGTCAATCAATATTAGGCCTGTCTGTTTTCCAAGATCTGATAGGGAAATTCTTAAGAGTGTATAAAAATGTAAAATCCCAGCATTAAGTATTAACATTAAGTTCAATTAATCATACATTCACAAAATGTATTCATGTTTCCACACATCAAAGTTTCTCACTGTCAGACTCAATCTGTTGATCAGTGTCTTTCTTCAGTAGTTAGTCAGATTTCCCTGCTGTAAGACAAAGTGATAACAGAGCATCTGCTTCTTTGGTTGAACTAATTACATCTGCTAGCACCTTTTAAAGGTGAAAGCACACGTTTTCTGAAGGATAATGAATGCAGAATCCATTGAAACTGAAGTTAGATGAAAGCAAAGATAAAAAAAGAATTTCAAACCTGATCAGCTCTCTGAATCTGGCTTTATTAGATGTGAAAAAAATCGCTATAAAAAATAAGAGGGATTTTTTTTTTCTCATACAACGTGCGAGGTAACAAAAGCTGAGCAGTGAAGTGGAAGTCTCACTGTGTGCCGTGTCAATCATGTGTGAAGATATGCATAAACATTTGGTTTCGTTCGCACACACAAACAGCCAATTCACTCCATCCAGCGTGAGTGTGAACGCTCCCTCTCCTCCACAGCAAATTAAGCCTGAATCGGTTCTCTTTGGGTTTCGTGGTGGCGTCAGTGCACCGAGGCGTGTTCAGTCCACTCCGACACAGCCTGAGGATGGGACCAGCTGACCTCCCATTATCTAAGTCACCCCTGTCCAGCCTCAGCTCAAATGTATCAAAACAGAGCCAAACTCAAAGTTCACGTTGATTTGTTATCTTTCTTTGTAACTTTTCCCCCCATAGTTTTTCAGGTGATGCTGAGAGCATTATATAACTATACCAAGAGATAGAGATTTTGCAGGATCGTTTCCTTGTGCAGACTGGTCATGGATAAACGAGCTGTACCAAAAGGGTCACAAATTCCCAGTGGAGTCCGTTAAAAAAAAAAAAGAAAAAAAAGACAGTTACATCATCTCTGTTTCTTTCCAGCGGAAAGGCTGCAGAGTCGTTCCAAACCATTAAATAAAACAAAACATCATCAGACAGCCACCATTAAAACGCTGTTTTATAGGTTTGGAGCAGATTACTGAATTTATCCGCAGTGCTGCTCTCAAGAAATGGTCGAGTTTTGCACGGTGGATGCATTTATCCAGATGTGTGGTTATTTGAACGTCCTTCAGTGATTACTGACTCATTAAAGCAGTGAAGAACATTCTCTCCTTCATCATTGGAGGGTGAAATAACTTATGTCAACAATCAATTGATGTTTCTTGTGTTTTTCAAGGTATTCATGTTTTAAACTGTAGTATACAGTTTAATTCCCTAATAATAGACATTAATATTAAGTTATGGTGTATTAATGGTTTTAAAAATGACTCATAGCTGCCAACATTGACTACAGAACATATGAAAATGTAGTTGAAGTTCTTCCAAAGGACATTTCAGGGAGATTTGAGTACGAGTCCAAAAGTAGACCGAGACCACCTTAGCTCAGTGAATAGGAACAAACAGTGACCAAACTGAGACCTATTTAAAGAATATGCTGCTGTTTTTGTTCATCTTATCAAGTGGTGCGTGCCACCGCTAAATTCCAGGCAGCCACGTGTTTTCATTCAGCTCACAAAGCCAGTTCAAGCAAATGTGTGGACAGACCCACTCATTTGGGAGTTTTTCCACTTTTCCTGTAAACCTGCAACACAGGTGGAACAACTTCATCCATCTTTCTTGTTCAGCACTGAAGAAGATGATGTAAAAATCTGTAATTACACTTAAAAAATGTGGATTGATGGTTCAATTTCTAATCATGATGTTGTATAAACCCGGCTGAGTAAAGTCTTTGTCTAAGCAAAGAAGAAGGAGACTGATGTGGATGTTTACTATGAATTTTATACATCTTATTCTACCAACTGGGTCTGAATCAGCTGTAAAAGGCATAAATGTGAAAGCATAGTAAAATATAATTGTCTTTATATCATCTTGGGAAAAAGGAGTGTGTAAAACCCTTGTTTCCTCTGTAGATTCTCTCCAAACATGGTACTGAGATACGAAGGCACTGGTGTAACACAGAAATATTCTGATTTGTGCCATCCGAAGATACTGAGCTGTCTCTGAATTTTAGAACCTTGAGGCTGCAAAACAGACGAGAAAATAAATTATGCAGTCCAGGAGATGATTTAACGGGGAAATGTGGTTCCACGTGTGCACTAAATCATCACAATACATCTGCTCCATGTCCTCATTTGAATCAGTCATTATCAAATAATGAAGAGGTTGGAGGAAAGCTTGACATTATAAGTCAAATACCTCAATGAGAGGCTTTTGTAAGAGAAACTCTGACCGACAGCATAATCTGCATGAATTATTAGGAACTACAGTGAATGATAATCACATCCCAGGTCCGGTGTTTCCGATACTTCAGTCGGAGCTTTTAACATGATCAGCTCCTCAGAACGACTGCTCTAATGAAGTGGAGGGAGCTAACAGCAGACACTGACTTCAGGCCCAACAGGGAGGTCAGGGGAGTTTGGCGAGTCTGACAACTGTCTCCAAATGAATCAGGCTTTTCTTTTTGGTCGATACAGTTTGGGTAAAATGCTAAGATTGGATGAGGGGTTGCTGACTTTATTGAATTATTGTTCCCTTGATTCATACCTGAGAAATGAGAGGAGCTCTTTAAATAATTCATGAAACATTATTTCAAATGGTTTTAATTAGACCTGTAATGAAGCTCTTATTTCTGCGCACTTAAGGGAATCTGTCATAATCCCACAGCTGGGCAGAGTTTAGCATAAAATGTTACTTAAATTACTTGATCAATTAGCCAAATCAGCTTCTACTGCTTCTATTACCCATCAATCCATCTCATGGGTACAACCTTACCTTCTATTTAATCTTTTCAAAGTCTTTTTTGTATAAAGAAACAAAAAGATTTAGAAGTAACAAACTCCCAACTCTCCTACTTTTTCTGTCGACTAAATTCTGATTTTATCATAGCGGCATCATCAGACAAAATCCCTATTTAAATTCTTTAAATAACCTCTGTGCTGTGAATTCAGATACAAGACATAGGACAACACGTGTCTTGTAGTTTACAAAGAAAACAGATCTGGCTTTAAATGTGACACTGAGACAGTCTTTGAGAAGGGACTTAACAGACGTGTTTCTCCGGGAAGTTTGGGTCCTGAACCAGGATGTCTCATCTCTCTCCCACGAGTCTGTGATGGACGGTACAATCTGCTTTGCTGCCGTCTGCCTGGGCACTAGCAGCACAACCAATAACTCCAAGAAAAATTAAACGGATAAAGAAATCTGACCCCGGAGCCCCGGGGTCCTGACTGCAAAGAAACAGGCAACAGGCAAAGGAACACCCAGACACCATGGTGCTCAAACAGTCTTTAAAAAGATTTCTTCGTCTTCTTTTTATTCATCCACTCTGTCCAAGCCGTCGACCATTTGATTGTTCTGTTGCGCTAATATAATTTCCCCCTTTGGGATTAAAAAAAAAAATGTTTTATTTGTAAGGCAGCAGATGGTTTGTTGCATAAGACTGATTAGGACGGCCTCCATAGAAACCATCTGGAAAACGCCAGGCATGTTAAGGCAAAAATTAGCATGCAATTAGAGGTAGCGTCTCTCTGATTTTAACCACGATTGAACCGTCCAATGAGCTGGTCCATGATTAGGAAACATCATTTACTTTCCTCACACGTAAAACCAGCCCGACTATCTATTTTTGAGGCCTAAAAGCGTGCAGAATGAAACAAGAGGGTCACGCGCAAGACTAGATGAACCATGAATGAAGAAGCCGCCGATGTCCAAAGAAGAAGCCCTTTGAAAAGACTTAAGAGCTATTGCTCAAGAGCACGTTGGCATATCACCAGAAAGCTTGACAGAAAGAAATCAGGAGATGAAGGGGAGATCAGGACTCTCCAGAGCTCTGTGATCCCGAGGTCACACGACCGTCATGAAATAATGATAAAGCCGAAGCCTTGATCCTTTTGAAACTTCAAATTTGTGACTCATTATATCGAAGGTGAATTGTCCCATTTCCATAATTTCACCACAAAAACATGACAGCGTGTCAGAGCAGGAGCGCCGTCTTCTGTCCTCTCTGGCCACATGGGGGATTTTTTAGGACGGATTAGAATTTCTAGTGATAGTTTTCCTAATTTTTGACATTTGGTGTCATTTTTACTCGACTTTGCTGTCATTCTGCAATAGCTTTCTTATTCTTTACCAACACTTGTATTTCTGTGGTTGTGTAAGGTCTGCTAGAAGGTAATTTGTGTCTCGATAGTCATTTTCTTACAGTTTTTCTTGCCATTTCAGAATCTAGTCTTCTGCAATTTTTTCTTTTTCTAAACTTGCCAGAAATATTACAGCCATTTGCTACATAATTATGATCTTGTTAATATAGCATATGGGAGCCATTCTGTTCCCTTTGTTAATTTTTGGCTTCAAATAGCAATGGCAATCTCTTTTTTTATCATGCCGCCACTAAAGGTGAGCATTAGCACCTAGGTGCTATACTGTTTCTTCACATTTAAATAGTACATTCTGTCATTCTTCTGAACAAATTTATTTCATGATCTATTTTATTCATAAAAACATGATGCATCCCTTTTAAACCAATGTAATAAAAAAATTAACTTTAATATACTGCTTTAATGTATCTGCCATAAGTAAAATTGATCATAGTGTGGCTGAGCATACCTTTAACAGGAGAAAAATGGACTTTAAATAATTTATTTTCCAAGTTAGTCCACGTGAAAGCCCATAAGAAATCATTGAGAAGAACTTATAAATGATTTGACAGAATCATTCATTTATTTTTTCGTAATTTTTTGCGTTCTTCATGCATGGTTTGTCATTATTTTCAGCAGAGTGAAAATGGTCACTGCCCAGAACTGTTCTGCGGTCTGTTTAGCCCTTCTTCCGCCTCTTTCGCTGACTGGCTGCATGTCTTTGACTACCATGATATGATTCCATCTCCTGCTCATCTGAGTGCCCTGACATGAACAGCTGGAGACCGGCCCGGCAGACAGAGGCCAATTATCTGGCGCTGATTGTTCCTTGTCTTCTATAAAAATTATATTTAGTCCCAGGCCTCACTTGTCTTGTGCAAATTACATTTCATGAGGACCCGACTGCCCTCCTTTTGCGTGATTTGTCATTTTGCTGGTTACATTTCATCAGCTGTAAAATCCGTTAAACAGCAGCTTCTCTAAAGAATGTGTCTATTTATGAAGTTCAATTTTCATTATTGGGAATAAACTTTTAAAAGAGCACGACAGCAAGCAAAGAAAGAAACTTTTTTAAACTGATAAATTTTGTGAGGAAGAATACAATGAGCTCCAGCCAACCACCAAAAAAAAGTAAATATGGAAAAGAATTCTGGCTTTTCAGGGAGATTTCTTCACGGCCTAAATGCTGATTTTGTTTCAACCTATATGAACTGTTAGGTGAAGTTTAATTTTCTTTTGTTTTTGGTTTTCATCAAAAATTTAATTTTGATCAAAGATCCTTGTTTGTGTGGGAGATTTGTCGGAAAATCAGGAGCAAAGACTCATAAAGTCTTGTGGCTGCTCAGACGTTTTTACATCCAGTGCACTTTGTGTCAGCCCAACTTCTTTCGCCTTCACACTTTAATTTCCAAATGTCTTTCCTGCTTTGTGTTGTGACAGATAAGCCTGCTGCTGCCAGTGCTCCCCGCTGAGGCGTACAGCAGTTTGGATCCGGTCTAATTATCTTCGAGCCCGATCCGCTTTCATCCACTCTTTTTCGTTGAAATTAATTAATTAAGTTTTCAACAAATCTATCCCAAATCAAATCTAACGTAACTGACCGGGAAACGGAGCAATGGGGCTCAGGATATCAGGAACCTTTTTTCTTTCCTTCTATTTGCATAACTGGAGTCAATCCCGGGGGTCCTTTGGGGAGCCGGGGGGGGGGGGGGGGGGGAAACCCAGGGCAGGACACCCGTCCATCACAGGGCACAACATTTATCATTTCATGCATAACCTTTTTTTTTTTCCCGGTGTAAGTTTTCTGTCAATCATTTCGAGGATTAAAAGATGTCAGAAATATCCATTTTCCAGGTGAATGGAGAGGTGCAAAGTGATTTCATGCCACTCACGTCTTATCCAGCCAGTAAATCATCCAGTCGATTTAAATTCATATGGCTGTTTATTCGTACACCTAAATTTCCCCCCTACAGGGACACTTTACTTACATACCTCCTACATGAAAGGAGATGTCATTCTGAAGTTATTTATTTAACTTGAGAATGACTTAAATAACAGGTTTGAATTTCGCAGCCCGCTTAAAGCTGAATCTTTCAGATTCAAGATTTGCATTTGCTTAACCTAAATCAGTCAGCATGTCACAGTATTAAACTTACATTCCTATTTACAGGTTTTTTGCTTGATGCAGCCTACTTGTTGCTCAAAGCTGTGCCTTTTCACTGTGGTGGAGACAGAGGAATTATTATTTTCAGTTGGATTCTGACTCTGAATTGACTCCAGGTGTGAGATTCAGCGTGCATTCACAACTGGGATTGACTTACAGTGTCCTGTTACCTTGAACGGGATGAATTTCCGATTAAATTAAATGAGATTAAATCAGAAAACAGCAGCCTTTACAAACATTATAAGTCATGTTACTTCTCATCGTGCGGCTTACAGAAAATGTCGAGACGGCTGAGCTATTTGTTGATACGTGCCCTCATTAGTTCTTACTTTCCAGAAAAAGAAAATGGATTTTCTTAGATTAACCCAACACATAAGGGCTCCACCACATGTATCAGGTTACAGTAAATAAAAAGGCATCTCTTAACCTCTATTTATGAAGATATTCATTACATCCGTGGTACAATGATTATAAACTAATAGCAACATCCACTATTGAAGAAACTCCTGCTAGTACCCAAGATAGAAAGGAATGCCACATCCTAATTGGATGGAAATGTTTTCGACATCTTGGTCATGGTTAGTGTCTGTCCATACTCACCCACAGATATTGTCCACACCGCCATGATCTTGATGCGAGCCTTTGTGTGGGAGTTGAAGCGGCTGTGGTGGATCGGGTTTCGTATGGCGATGTACCGATCCAGAGAGATGGCACACAGATGCATGATGGATGCCGTGGAGAACAGGACGTCCAGGTAGATCCAGATGGGGCAGAGGTCTGAGGGCAAGGGCCACTGGTAATCTGCGGACAGAGAGGTGGACAGACAGACAGAAAAATATTTTTGGGAGTTGGTGACGATAGCTCTGATTGGGCGAAAACCCCTTTGAATGGGTAGTTTCTTGGGATGCTTGCGTCTAAAAAGGTTAAAACTAGGAGTCAGGAATAAATGTGTCCCTCAGAACTGCTGATAATCTCACTTCAAATCAGAAAAAAATAATTTAATTGTAAGAATGGATTTCTCTTAAAGTTGTAATCTTTTTTTTTTTCCTTATATAACACCAGTGCTCTAGTTGATGGTTTGGTAACTGGGCCACTCTGCTATCTTCCTATTAAGAGTCTGTAAAATATGTGTTTCCTGAGTCAAACTAGGGTTTGTGCCCAGTGGCAGAGAGCTGTAAACTCACTAACACACATCACTCACACCACAGGCCTCAATTATATCATTTCGCATGCAATTTCACACGCTGACACATCCAGGAAACGGTAAATCACCCAAATTTCGGTGAAACCCGTCGGCTCAGGATAATTTCTCAGAATACAATCAAACCACAATGTAACATTTAGGGGGAGTATTTTTTCTGTAACTAAATTATGTTCACATTTAGGCCAACCTCTTTTTGAATGGCAACACCCATTTGTATTCCTATTTTAACAATAAAGACTGTGACAGAAATTCTAGATGAAGTACTAACTGGAACTGAGGAAAACCAAATCATTTGCTAAGTTTTTCATCTGGTGCCAGACTCCAGATAGAAATGTGAACAGCCTCCATTACTGCAGTGTCCAGTCATAAATCAGCCTGTATATAACATTCAGTCAATGAAAAGTTGATTTGTGTGACACAGACATGATGAATAAGGCCTAATACTGCGGTCTAGCCCGGCTGTCCTTGGGCTAGAAGTGGAATACACCCCGAACAGATCACCAGTCCATCTTCAGGAAGACCTAAAGACTCTGGAGGGTTTGCAAAGACAAAGCAAATAAGACGTAGTTGTCTTATCATAATCATTTGGCTCAGTTATAATCCCTTATTATACCAATAGTTACAGTTATAACCAGTTATGCATTTTCTGTGCATTGTGCCTCTCTCTAGTATGAATGGAGACAAACACTGACACAGGATTTGTTTTTACTCCTGACTGCTGACTGTATCCATTTAACTGTAAACAGAGCATACTCAAAAAATTACCTGTGTTATAATGGCGGTTTTCATGGACCTGCTGCATGTTTGGTAGCGTCTAAGAAGCTAATTACACGGAGCCACAGAGTGATAAAAGGAATGAGTCATACAAATGGAGCATAGCCAGAGGCTGTCAAACCTGCCTGAAACTGCGAACATGCTCCAGATACAACCAACTCGCCACACTGTAGGTGCATCGGCTTAAAACAGACATCTGCATGCATGCACATATCTTCACATCCAAGACAAAAACACACACACAACCACAGTGTGTCTGTGACACGGCTGCCATTCTGACTCTGCTGCTATCTTTAGATATAGTCAAGTAAGTTAGTTTGAAGGAACTATAACGCAACATAGTGAACATTAATGTGAAATGGAGTTTTTCATACATCGTAAAGAACAACAGAGCAAGGAGAAAGCAGCTTGAAAAAGCTTTACTAAAAATGAATTCAACAACTATTAAAAGGTATCAGATAATTCTTTATGGAACACCAAAAAAGGTAGGTAGAACATATCTTGTTTGACTAACATTATGGTCCAAAGTTGTAAAAAAAAAAAAAAGGAAATTGTCCAGACCCAACAACCAGTGATTATCAGTGAACTGAGATCTCATAACAGTGAACCTGCTCACATTCCGAGGGGGCATTAAAAACCAAATCCCTTTAAAAGATTTACGTGTGGATGACATGTGACAGTTCCCCTGTGATCCATCCTGTTTGACAAAAATATACCCGTAGTTGGAGGGGATTAGACCCAGAACACCTTGAGTACCAGGACACTACAAGAGTATTTGCTCACCCTATTCCTGCCACCCAATTTTCTGTTGTTCACACAGTATGACAGATGACCTGTTCCAGGCTTTCATTATTTGGGAGGAGATGACTCACTCATGTTGCTCAAGGTAGTCATGGTCACCGCCAGAGTCTCTGCTACTGCCTCCTCCTTGTCATCATTGCTCCTGGTTTATCCTTTCCTCTCTTCATTCTCATTACTTTCTCAGAGCTGTCTGTCCAGCTTTGTCTCTACTACCTTATTTGAGAATAGGTACAATTCTGGGGTTTAATGTAAAAACTTTGTGCTGGTATACACACACATACACACATATGTATACATACATA